AGGGAAAGAAATGTTTGCTTTCCTTGGAATACAGACTGATCAACACTGCTCAGAAGAGAGGACGGTGCCAGAGAAAGAGCCCTGGGCTCGGGGGTCACTTCGGCTCGGCTCCTAAGCAACTGTGTAACTTGGAACAAATCACTTCTCTCTGAACCTTAGTTCTTTCATATTTTATTTTCTTAAATGCTTGCTCAAGTCTATACAAGTCAAAGTTTTACAAAATGTATCTGTTCATTCTGCTGATTTCTACTTAGCCTGAAAGTGTGGAGGGCGAGTGGTCTCATGCATGTAACAAGCATCTGTTTGTCACCACGGTAGAAAGAGGCACCATACCAAGCTCTGAAGGGGTCCCCGAGATAAAAGAAGCAATGTCCGGCTGTGCTGATTGCAGAGGAATTGTAAAACCCCACAAGAGATTCATTGACATAGAAAAGTTTTCTGTTCATGGTCATTTTAAGTAAAAATATAAAAGAATCTCAATTCTTCTTCTCCTTTTTTTCTTTCTTCCCAAAGAAATTGAAAGGCAAACACAAGGAGCAGCATTTCCAGGGGAGAGTTGTTAGACAAGGAAGAAAGAAACATCGCTGGCCTGTTCCAACCTGCGGAGAACCCCAGCAGGTACAAGGGCAAGCAAGCAGGTTAGCAGACCACCACTAGACGCTAACTCTAGCTTTGTGGGGGCCGGGGGAACTGCTGAAGTCATCAGTCAAGGCAGAACAGGCAAACTGCAGACCTGGTCATTGCAGGAGTCAATACGGAGACAAGTTCTGGCCCCAATTCCCACCTCTTTCTTCTCTTCTCATTCTCCTTCTTTTCAATTGCCTCGTTTAATGATCTGTTTTGCCTCCTCAGCATCTGTCTCCCCTTCCTGCTCCTTGCTCTCTCTTCCCTCTCTCCTGTTTTCTCCTCTCTTCTCTCCTCCTTCTCTCTCCCCCTCTCTTCTCTCACTCTCCTAAAACTTTCCATTGCATTCTTCTTCATTTTTACGTCTACATCTTAGCATCTTAATCCTCTACTCACTATAATTCTTTTTTCCTTCTCTTCATATCTTAAATATAATTACTTCTGTATATCATATTGTTGCATTGCTTTAAGTGATGCTTAACCTGAAACACTTATCACTGATGGCAATTGGTGAGTTATTGTGGGAATTTGTTGGAAAGAATTCCTTTCAATACTGGTACTTTAACCAGCATTTTTGTATTTCCTGAGCTATTTTAACCCTTAAAGTTTTGCAAAGCCAAAAGCTCTTTACTCTACTTTACTTACAAAGGTTTTTCTCTTGTTCAACATGAATATCACATTTTGTGACTGCAGACACTACATTAGATTTGGTTATGTAGAGTCCTATAAACCAGGGGTTCCAAAAACAGGAAATAGTAACCTGTTCTACAATTATGACTCTGAAAGAGGGCTATGTATGCAAGTGGCTGGGTGCATTTGCTATTGTCTTCGTAGAATATCAGTTTAAGGGCAACTTCTCTTCAGAATTTTCTCAAAGTTAAGAAAAACGGCAGTCCAAAGATCTATGTGACATCTTTCATTCATGGATAGATTCAGGTTTAAACACTGAAAAATGAATCTCATAGGTATTATCTAATTTAACCATCCCTGTTACCCCATGGATAGGTGCACTTATTCTCATTTTACAGAAGAGGAAACTAAGGTTTGAGGCAGTTAGATACTTGCCCAAGGTCAAACAGTTAGGAGGTGGTGAAACAAAAGATGTCCATTTTTATACCATTTTTGTAATGAACTTTTAGTACTGAATTAAATGGAAAGAAAGTGCAGTCACAAATTGGTTGAATGGTTGAGCAACAAAAAGACCCTGGGGTGTAGCTCCATGATTTCAATGGCCCTGCCCGATGCCTGAGACTGAAGTAGTATCTTCTGGGGGTCCATAAGATAGTAGATATGGTGTGAGGTTTGAAACCAGAAGAGTCTGCATTCCAACCTAGACTCTACCACTTTTCAGATATGGGACCTTGAGACTGAGGAACAAAGATGTAGAGGATGCTCCTTGAGGAGATAGTGATAGAATCAGGACTGAGAATTAGGTCCTTTAACCACATGTCAAGGAAGTATTCTCTACTCCCAAATTCTGATACCTTAAAGAGCAGAATAAAAAGCATCGCCAAGGTTGAGGTTGAGGTCCATACTCCCTAGGCCCTTTCAAGTCACAAATGACCTCCTCTCTTCCAAACACAGTGATACTTGTTTTTTTGTTTTTGTTTTTTTTTTTGTTTTTTTTTTTTTTAGAGGTTTTTTGCTATAGGGCACATGTGCTCACCAGACAGAGAGAGACAGAGAGACAGAAAGAGAGAAATCACCCCCCAGGGGGGGATGACCATGCCGCAATCCCTTCTCCTCCATTCTCCTCTCGGGATCTTGGGCACGTGCACACATGCACCCAGCGTGAGTTTTACGCCGCGGGGTCCAGGACATGAACCGCGATGGACTACATGGGAATCCAGTGACATAGCCATTATGCTAACTGCTGGTCCCAATACAGTGATACGTCTCAGTTTTTTTACCTTACAAAATTTTCATTGCATTTGGTCCTGCGTTGACCTCCCATTTGAGGCCATCTACCTAAGCTTCTGTAACTCAGCACCTCTTTTGTTCTCCTCTTACCTCTGGGACCATTCCTTTCCTGTCTCTTTCAAGAGCTCATCTCCCCTGTCCACCCTTGAAACATTAAAATTTCCTGATTTTGCTCTTGATAGCTTGCTCATTCCTCTATACCATCCTCCCAGCTCATCTTCTCCACTTTCACCATATCAACTCCCAATAACATACTGCTAGCCTCCCAACTTTTAACCTTAGTCTATATTTTCTCCCCAACCTCAGAATATCAGATGCCTTAAGCTCAGTATGTCCCAAACGACTTATTCTATTATCCGCTCTTATACTCACTCCTGCTCTTACACTATCTTCCTCTCTTACCCAAAGGCACTATTTTTCTTACTGTCACCTCAATCTGAACCAAAAGATAATCTCTAAAGCAGGAGTCCCTAACACCCAGACTTAGACCAGTACCAGTCTCTGTCTAAGAACTGGCCACAGGTTCCTAGCCGGTGAGTGGTAGGCAAGCAAGTGAAGCTTCAACTGTATTTACAACCACTCCTCATGGCTCACATTACCACCTGACCTCCACCTCCTCTCAGATCATCAGCAACATTAGATTCTCATAGAAGTCCCCAGATGGGACTCTCTGATTAAAGGAATAACAAGTTCAGGGTTCCCACTGATTCTGCATAATGGTCAGTTATATAATTATTTTGGTATATATTACAATGTAATAATAATAGAAATAAAGTACAAAATAATGTAGTGTGATTGAATCACCCTAAAGCTATCCACCTTCCTCCTACTACCATCATCTATGAAAAAATGTGTCTTCTATTCCAAAAAGTTTGGAGATTGCTGCTCTACAGTACCTGTTTCTTGTCCAGGCCCCACATATCCATATCATGTTAGTTCTTAAACAGTTGCTGCTTGGCCCTTTCTGCTCATCACACCTTTCCATGTCTCTAATCTAAGTCCGCTTGCTTAGATTCAAAAAGTTCAGCTGGATTATTACATCAGCCTTCACAGAAGCCTTTTATTTGCAAAGCAAATCTCTCGCTCTTCTGCATCTAGCCCTTTGCTAGACTCTGACTATAAGACAATGCCCAAATTCCTTGGTAGAGCTCACCCCAATGCGATTGTGGACCTGCTCACTCCTTCAGTCACATTGCATCTTATTCTGTCTTCCACTGAAATCTCCTGCACCCACGCAATTTCACACCTGTAAGCTTCTATTTTGTCTACATATATCTCCCACCAACCCTCGCCTTCCTCATCCCCAGAGATTTTGGAGGTATTCATGAAACTTCCTCCATTCTCCTTTATTCCATCCTCCAGGACAAATTAGATGTTCTTCATCCATGATGCCTTAATACCTTGCACACAAGCCTATTCTCACCCTCTTCACACTTTGTTATAATTGCCTGTTCCCAACTCCTGTCTTCATTAGACTATAAACTCCCTGAGAGGAGAGATTGTGTCTTTCATATCTTTAATCTCTGGAGCTATGATAATGCCAGATACACAGTACGGATGATACATGCTTGACATACAAATGAATGGATTGCTCTGGAATCTGCTCTCATCACTTGGGTGACCACAAGCCAGTTATCAAGCCTCAGTTTTCTAGTCTATAAAATGAAGACAATGAATTTGATCGCATGAGGTGGTTGTGACAGACAAGTAGGATTTGAACAATAGTAAACATAGCTAACATTTATTGAGGCCCTACTATACATAAGACAGCATTCTAAATGTTTTGCAAATATTTATTAGCATAATTACCATGGCAACCCTAAAGTAGATGTTATTATTCCAATTGTTTAGGAAAGGACACTGAGGCCCAGGAAAATTTGTCACCTTGCCCAAAGTTATTAAGACCAGTGAGTGGGAGCTTGAGCTGTATATTATGAAACTCTCACTCTTTTGTTTGTTTGTTTTGTTTTGTTTTTCATTTTCTAGGTTTGTTTGTTTTTTCCATAGGGAGCATGTGCTCCCCAGAGAGAGAAAGAGAGAGGAAAAATAAGAAATTAACTTTGGGAATTCCAGGGATGACCATATACAATCCTTTTTCTTCATTCTCCTCTCAGGATTTTGGGCACTCTCACACACACAGGTCTGGTGTGATTTTCAAGCTGCATGTCCAGGACTTGAACCACAATCTGCCATGTGGGATTTCAGGACCTTAAACACTATGCCACCTGCTTGCCCCCAAAACTCTCACTGTTTACCAGTGGCCTCCCTTGTCTCAGACACTACTGTGAAGTGCTTATTGAAGTGGCTGACACATGTAGGTTCTAACTAAATAGACTATTTTTGTTTATTATCACCTTGATAATCAGGCCCTAGCTAGCCACTTCTGCTCTCTTTCTTCCTACCAGATAATATTCAGCCGACACATTCTTCTCCTATAATAGTCCAGGTTCCTTAGAATAGAGACACTGCAACAGATATTACATGCTAAGTTAAGAGGAAAGGGATGTAAGAAAAAAAATAAAGGGAGGGGAATGGAAAATGCAAATTTAGTGTTACATCATCAGCCACAACTTATGGAAGCACAGTCAAATGCTTAGTCATGTTTCTATAGCTCCTACTAGGATGACTGATACAGGGCTCCATCAGGGAGGTCAAGGACGTGGTGCTAGGAGGTGAGAAGACTGGTGACAGCTGGGGTTCTCTACTGAGTAAATAGCCAAAAGTCAGCATGCAGATGGACCAAGCACACCTGGAGTGGCATTTAAATGGAGTCTAATATCTCTTCCTGTAGATCCTCCACAGAAGAGTTTGTACAACACAACACCATATTCTCCTATGTGGAACCAATGGCTCCTTCCAGGATTCAGGTGTTTTGCTGAGTGAAGAGAGTTTCTCTTATTCCACAATAACAGTGTTAACTATTGACCCATGACCTGCCATGCAGACCTAGCAGACTGCTCCAGCAGCTGAAGAATTCTTCCTTGGAAATGTACAAGCAACCTTATGTAAAGACTGCATCTTTTTCTTCACTTTGTGTGTGTGTGTGTGTGTGTGTGTGTGCCTGTGTGTGTTTGTGTGCATGTGTGTGGAGAGAGAAAGAGAGAAAGAGAGAGAAAAAGAGAGAGAATATCTGGTCTTTAGGCCTCCAATTATAAAAATGGCTATCATTTATTGAGTGATATGTTAAAGATTTTGTAAGTCTTGTATAAGATTTTAACATTAAAATGACCTTGCAAAGAAAGCATTCTTCTCCCCACTTTACGAATGAGAAAACTGAGGCTTAGAGAGGTGAAGAAATGCTCTGCAGGTCAAAAGGAAAATGATGAGTCCCAGGAGGAGCTTGTTCTTCCATTCTTTTTCCTGCCTCAAAGGCCTCCAGAGAGTGGCTCTTCTTCAGACTGGAAGACCACCCTTGTAACCCTTCTTTCACCTCAGTGTATATCTGCCCTTATTTAGTCTAGTTCCTTGGGATTCAGAGAGGTTAACTGAGTTGCCAAAGATCATGCAGCAAACCAGAGCCAGTTCCTCCTCCACCCCCATGCCCATGTTATTATTTGGAATTTCTGGGATTGAAAAGAAAGTAGAAAAAGATTGAAAACAAGCCTTGGCCATTTTTAATTTATCATCTTTGTCTGAGAATTTTTACTTAAGATTGCAATACCATTTTTCCTCTTTCCTGCACCTAGAATTGCAGAGCAAGAGCAGGGGAATGGGAGAAAATCTATTAAAACAAGATCCTTGCTACTTTATGGTAATTAAAAGCAATAAATATTCCTGCCCACAATGCTAAAAATCTCAAATAGCCAGTGGGTCAATACTGTTTCCCTGGTTAGGATGGTAATAAATCTTTATTCCTTTTGAGTCAAAATAAGGAAGGGGTTTTATTCATGAATTCCATGACCTGGGACTGCGACATTTTCAAAACAAACACGCCTGGAATGAAGAGTTTCTCCACCAAGTGTGTGTTTATGTGCCCTTTTCCAACCTACTTCCTTCACCACCAAAGCATCTGTCCTTGCGTGGGCTTTTTATTAATGCAAGAGCAGTATCTTTCTGCTACTCCACAATGGCAAAATTGTGCAGAGCATCCAATCTTCCCTCTTACCATCATTATATCTTAATGCATAGTCTATGTTGGTGGAAATCAGAATGATTTAACTCTGGCCTTCTCAAGTACATGTTCTTTCTCAAAGGCTTTGTTTTACAGGAGAGACATTACTACGATTGTTTTATTGTTTTAATTTTGTTGTAAGGTGTGTGCACTCACTGAAGACAGCCACAGAAAAAGAGAGGGAAAGTGAGAAATCAGCCCCCAAGGGGGAATGACCACTCCACAGTTTGTTCTCCTCCATTCTTCTCTCCAGATCTTGCGTGTGGGTGTATGCCAGGTCAGAGACTCAAACTGGGAAATCGGCCATGTGGGACCAAGCACCCTAACCACCATGCCACCTACTGGTCTGACATGGCTTTTAATCTAGGCCAACATCCTTTTTATTATCTTTTTTTGAAAATAATTGTTTTCCCAAGTCTAAATAGACCAATGGCTTTGTGTTCATCTGTGGGGGCAACAGTGCTTACTTAGAAAGCTGAATTGCCTATGGCCTCCTTGTGAGTAGGGACACAGAGCCAGATACTGCAAAAACTGAGGGAAAGGCAGAGCTCAAGTACTAAGTCTTCTCTTTAGGAGCTTGTTCAGGAGAACCTTCAGAAAAACATTTCTTCTCTGGGACTCCATTTTATAATCCACAATGAGTGGAGTTTCAGTTTTACTTTGTTTTATTTATTTATTTGTTTTATGAGGTTACGTATACTTGGCCAAAAGAGACAAAAAGAAAGGGGGAGGAGGGAGAAAGCGCTCCCCATGGAGGATAGTCGTGCTTCAACCCCTTCTACTCCATTTCACCCTTCCTTTGGGATCCTGGGCACACATGCACATGCACCTAACATGTTTTTCAAGCCACCAGGTATGGGCCTGGAACCGAGCAGTAGAACACCATCTGGGATCCAGTCACGTTAACCACCATACCACCTGTCAGCCCTCAGGTACTTTTAAAATTTCCTTCATACTTATTGTTTCATAATCCTTTAAAACATGCACACTCTGTATTAGCTCTTTTTCAGTAATCTGTCCGGGGGGATAGCAGAGATAGGGTAAAAGCAGCAGTTTCTCTCAAGTCAAGTCTCTGATAAGCCCAGGCTCCTCCCTTTGGCAGAAAGCGTGAATGTGTCTGTGCCTCTCAGAACTGATTTTATATAAAAAGCTTATGCTAAGTTCAAGTTGCCTCAAAAACAGCACTCTTGTTGGGTGACTCGGGGGTGACTTTAACATTTAGCTAACACAGCACAATGTGTATCAGGCTAGCAGAGAGATAAATGCATGAATGTTCATAAGACATGCACGAAAACATCAACATTCCAAAAAGCTTCTGGTCCAATTTATGCCTGCACGACAATGCACGTTTTATTTTCTATGGGGGAAAAACACCTCAGAGAATAGGTTTGCTGAATAAGATAGACCCTTTTCATGCCTATTTATTGAATCACAGGTAGGCTGTGGATGCTTTATGCTAAAGAGGGCTCAGAGTAAATAGTGAAGAATGTTAAGAGTAACTGCATATCTGTGAATAACACTATAGAAAAATTGTTGGCTACAATGAAGACTGTATAGCAAACCTCATTGCTCATATGTCACCATTTTCTCAGTTTATTATTCAGTGCCACACTTGCAAATTTGTACCACTTTGCATTATTTTTCTTTGAGAAATCCAGATTGGTAGAGAAGAAGGGACTGTATTAAATTTGGAACTCAGGAACAATGGTGAGCTTTAACAATGGCCAGAAAGTTAAGTTGGGTCTCAAAAGCACTGCAAGGTCTCTGCCCTGGCTTCACTGAAAAAAACAACCTGGGTCAGAGAGTTTCCCCCTCAGTGACCAACGTTCACAGTGGGTCACAGGGCTTGCAGGAAGCGATGGGAATCAACAATGCAAACTAATCTTGGCCAGAGAGCTGACTACCAATTATGTCTTAGCAAAGCTAATAACCTTCCTAAAGACAGTCATATTCTATTCCTAGGAACTTCTGAATATGTTACCCTCTATGACAAAGTGAAATTAAGGTAGTTTATGGAATTAGGCTTCCTCTCCAACTGACCATGAGAAGATAAACTATCCTGGAATATCCAGATGGCTTTCTTTCATAGGTTGTAGGGTATTTAGTAACATCTGGAGCCTCCTCCTATTAGATGCCAGTAGCAACTCCCTCCAGCCATGAAAATAAAAAATGTCTCCAGGCATTATCAAATGTTTCCTGAGGATAGAGACAAATGTGATGGTGGCTGAGGATGACTACACTAAAGAACCGTGGGTGAGACCAGCAGTTAGTGTAATGGCTATGTGGTTGGACTCCCATGTAGTCGACTGTGGTTCGAGTCCCGGACCTGGCAGCTTTAACTCCCACCGGGCGCGTGTGTGTACGTGCCCAAGATCCTGAGAAGAGAATGGAGGAGAAGGGATTGTGGCATGGCCATCCCCACTGGGGGGTGATTTTTCACTTTCTGTCTCTCTGTCTCTCTCTGTCTTTTGGCAAACACACACACCCTATAGCAAAAACCTCTCAAAAAAAAAAAAAAAAAAAAAAAAAAACCACCGGGAAAGAGAACCCT